TGAAAAAAATACAGACAATTCAACGTTGTATATCTACAACAAACATTATTGCAAGAACGCCTCTGAACACACATTGGAGATATTCATTGCAAGACTCCTTGACATTATGGCATTTCAGTCTGCAGATTATAAAACAGAATAATAGACCCAGCTGCACAGACACCGGGAAATACGACCGCCTACCTTCGAATATATACAATATATCTCCGTGTAGAGGAGATTGGATACGCTACACTCTGAAGAGCACAGTCAATCATGAAATGTAATCCGCTGGGGGGCAAATAGCTATCAAACCGATCTTATATATGTGCTCTTTTCTATTTACTGTGTTTGCCGACTCACTCCCCTAAGGCGAGCCACGGGGATGCAATGAATGTTTAACAGAACCGAAGAGCTAGACTGAATATATATATTTAATCTGTGGACCTTGTAGCTGCAATTTCAATATTTGAGTTTCTGCACAATGCCCTTCTGTCTGCTCATGCATATTGCTTTCTGTGTCTGCGTGCAAGAGACATTTCACTTTTAACAAGCTTTCAAGGGTCTGCTTTTTTACTTTGTAACATCTCCAGCTGCTAGATATGTTCCTGAAAATAACATCAAGGCACCGCGAGACTTTCTTCACATCTAACACTCGGAGGTTTGACAACTTCGCCGGTCAACCAAACTCCCCCGGGATTTAAAAAGTAAAAATGTCATCAGTTAAAAATAATAATTAGTACATAATAAAATGGAGGTCACTGTCGGAGTGAGTCAGATAAAGTGACTCAGCTGTGCTTACGCAGTGACAAAGGGGAGTAACTAAATAATTAACTCCAGCTATTTTTGATTAATTAGCAGGTTGCTAAGTGTCTGCATGAATTAACCTTTTCACAACAGGCAGGTCTGCATGTCAGCAATGAAAGCTCAGCTGTGATTAAAACATTAATGATGGCAGGAGCTTTTTTCTGTTGCTTTGCTATCGTGAATGCTGGCTTTCTGAACACTATATTAATATATGAAGGTCCATCTTCTACTTATTCTTCTTCTATATTAGAGAAGAGCGATTGTTAATGCTATTAATTCCACTTCCTGCTATGATTCTGCAAAATATCATCTGGAAAAAGGTCTATTACTTCAGAAACAAACAAAGAAATAGAAGACATTGGCAGCTACAGCTGATTTGTCTACTATCCTCCCAAATTTAGATAAAACATATTTCTTTAGACGACCCTCTCAATTACCAACATACTGCTTTGATGTGTCGATTAGTCTTATTTAGGTAATGAATGGCCGTTTTGAAGGCCTGAACGTTCTGCAAAAGTTGATTTGTTTTACCTAAAATAGAGTTCCTGCATATGGGCGTGGCCAAATGGCTCAGCTGCGTAACTTCGTCGTACAATAGAGCGGTGCAGGGATGACGTATTTGTGTAGGCCGACCTGGAAGTAATATACATATACATCTCTTTCAAACCCGTCAAAATGGAAATTGTAAACACTCTCATCACATGTCTGTCTGCAATTGAGGATTGGATGTCAAGCAACTTCCTACAGCTCAATGCTTCAAAAACGGAAGTCTTGATCTTAGCGGCTGATAACATCGCCTCTAAGGTAGCAAGCCACCTGGGTTCTTTCAGTGGTAACATAAGGGCAAACATCAAAAACCTTGTTGTAACTTTCGATCAGTCTATGCTACTAGACAAACACATAAAACTTCTGACCCGTACCTGTTTTTTCCATCTCAGAAACATTGCCAAGCTCAGGGGGTTTCTATCAAACACAGAAATGGAGATGGCTATTCATGCCTTTATTTCATCCCGGCTGGATTACTGTAATGCTCTGTTCTCCTGCCTCAACAAAACATCAATAAACCGGTTACAACAGGTCCAAAATGCTGCAGCCAGATTGCTCACTCGGTCCAAAAAAACATGCCACATCACTCCGATCCTTTCTGCCCTGCACTGGCTCCCTGTCCATCTCAGAACCCAATTCAAGGTATTGGTTTTCACATATAGAGCGGTCCATGGCCAAGCCCCAGCCTACATTAACGACCTTATCCACCCTCACAGCACAACTCGGGCCCTGAGGTCCTCTGAGCAAGGCCTCCTAAGGGTGCCCCGAACCAGGCTAAAAACTAAGGGGGACCGTGCCTTTGAGGTGGTGGCCCCAAGGCTATGGAACAAACTCCCCCAGACACTAAGAGCCTCTGCCTCAGTAGAGATTTTTAAGGGGCAGTTAAAGACCCACCTCTTCCGTCAGGCCTTTGGGGCATCGGAGGAGGTGAGTTAGTAGCTGTCTTTTATTGGTGTTTTATCGTATGTTTTATCCTATGTATTACCTGCTGTTGTTTTATGCCTTTTATTCTACATTTTAGTTGTACTGTGAATTGTGTACTGTACTGTAAAGCACTTTGTACATTCGTGTTGAGAAGGGTGCTATATAAATAAAGTTTTACTTACTTACTTACTGCGCATGGGTTCCCTCGACAAAAAAGCAACGGGGTTTCTCCAGAGGATTTTGGAAAATAGCTCGAAATAAGGTCTGTGTAAACGAACCTGTTTGATAAATGCATGTTTTGTTCAGCCGGATAATCTCCACATGTCTACCCTACTTTTATAATGTTCTAATCATAAATCTAATGGCAGGAAGCTAAATGCTAAGGTTATGCTACAAAGGAACTACAGCCGAGTCCAGCAGCACGACTTCAACGTCACGCCAACTTCAGATCCATATTCAAACACACAGATTCTAAATGGAACGAGTTGAAGCGTTTGTTTGAACAGTTTGCAGGAGGCAGGGACTTGCTTTCAAGCAGAACAGGGCCAACAAACTTAGAGGAGTGTTTACGTGTTCGGCGTAATAACGTACAACGGCCTCGACAACTTCTGTAGTCCTATTCAGCCACTTGGTAACAACCATCGTTTTTCAGACACATCAACTCTTCAGAAATCACCAGTGGGGTCACTGCTGATGGATTTAATGTCGTACAACAAAACGTGATCCGTCTCTTCCATTTGTCTCAACCACAGACCTTATTTCCAGATATTTTCCAACATCCTATGAAGAGATCCCATTGGCTCTGAGACGAGGGAACAGGAAGTGGTCAAATGCTGACTCACTTCCGGGTTTTAGGACGCGTCACTGCACCACTCTATCTCCGACCTGCTCCAAATATCTAATGCTTGATAAGAGCCTGAAGACATTTACAGCTCAATTATTAGTCACGGCGCCACCAGCTGCTCACAAGAAGTCAGCCTTGGGTAACAAACATCACATTTACATGAAAATGACGATGTGTGGTCGACATGTGGAGAAGAACTACATACTGTTTTTAAAGAGTGGGATCTCGAGACATTTTTCACTACTAAATTGTCCAGCATAATATGACTGAATGTGTAATAGGTGATATAGGGCTATAATTATTAAACTTGATTGAATTGATTGATGATAACAGTGGCCCAGTTTGTTGGATTTGAGAATCGTTAGATGGAGCAAACACACTTTCTTTGCCAGTATCAGTAGCTCTTATGATGCAAGATCACCCAAACATTTCCATTATTACCGTTCCTTTCAGTCCGTATGACTTTTCCCTTTCCTTCTCACTGTTGTTCTGTAAAAAGCCGGTGTGAACGTGATCCAGAAGAGAACAACATATCGTCTTCCGTCCAAACAAAGCAAACTACAGTAAGCAGATCGACTGCTGTGCTTGGATTTGTATTCTCTCGCTGAGAGTTGCACGCAGTTTCAGAACATACTGGATATCAAATATGAATAACATTTCTTACTGGCCTGTGAGTCGAGAAAACAACATGTATCTGACAAAAACAATGTGCCGCTGCAAAACAGCAGCTTCCCTTTTTTGACCACTTTCGACTTTTTTATGCATTTATGTTGTACTATAATTTTCCACCAATTTGCACATTTTGTCATGTAGATTGATGTTGACGTGCAATTTGCTTCTAATTGCTGCTGACGCTGTAATTATTGTGTTTATCAGCTCTTCAGATTCAGCGATTATCTTTTTAATGGCAGAAAAAAATATCCAGATCTACTCTTTAAAGTAGAGACACTACATACTGATATACACCTGAACATCAGCAGGAGAGGACTCTTTAAAGTAGAGACACTACATACTGATATACACCTGAACATCAGCAGGAGAGGACTCTTTAAAGTAGAGACACTACATACTGATATACATCTGAACATCAGCAGGAGAGGACTCTTTAAAGTAGAGACACTACATACTGATATACACCTGAACATCAGCAGGAGAGGACTCTTTAAAGTAGAGACACTACATACTGATATACACCTGAACATCAGCATGAGAGGACTCTTTAAAGTAGAGACACTACATACTGATATACACCTGAACATCAGCAGGAGAGGACTCTTTAAAGTAGAGACACTACATACTGATATACACCTGAACATCAGCAGGAGAGGACTCTTTAAAGTAGAGACACTACATACTGATATACACCTGAACATCAGCAAGAGAGGACTCTTTAAAGTAGAGACACTACATACTGATATACACCTGAACATCAGCAGGAGAGGACTCTTTAAAGTAGAGACACTACATACTGATATACACCTGAACATCAGCAGGAGAGGACTCTTTAAAGTAGAGACACTACATACTGATATACACCTGAACATCAGCAGGAGAGGACTCTTTAAAGTAGAGACACTACATACTGATATACACCTGACAATGAACATATGTCCTCTTTAACTTGCCTTACTTAGACTGTGTATGTGAGATGAAAGCATGCAGAAAGTTAGTGTCCCACAACCAAGAAAAAACACAATGAGGATATTTTAATTGAAAAACCATCCACAGTTTGGAAGAAACCCAATAATTGTTACAGATGAACAGATGAAGTAGAAAAGCAGGAAGCCATCAGGTGAAATGTCACTTTAGTAGCCATGTACAGTGGCTTTATCTGTGTTTGCTTTTGATGACATGTAATAATGGTATAGATATTGATGTGGGTATATGAAGGGAGGCTTGCCTGAGAGAGGTCCAGATCTACCTATCCTGATGGTCATCTCGTCAGAGTCCAGGTGTCCGAACGACGGCTCGTCTGCTTTCTCTTTTCCCAGCTTAGCATCGGGGGGCAGAGCCAAAGAAATGTGGGGGTCGGCACCTACACCCTGCGGAAGACAGAAAGAGACATTTCAATCACATTCACAGGCAAACACTTGATCTTTGAAGTCACTTAGATTCGTAGTACTGTCAAGGAAATGGTCCAAATGTAAAAACAAGCTCCTACATTCTTAGAAATAGCAACGAAAAGTCGATTGATGTTCAGTCGTTTTTTAAGAGAACACTCTTCAAAGGTTGTCAAAACTAAATCTTCATTTTAGGAAATTATATATGAACTTTGTCTGTGTGTGCACACTACTTCCGAGTTATGGTTTAATGGAACAAATATAGAAAAGGACGGAGAATTATATGTTTTATTATTATTTTTTCAATATCCTATTTTTATTGATTTTTATTATTTTGTAATATACCCTTTTTCTTAAAATGTAAAGTGTCTGGATCTTATTTGTTTACTATTTAGTTTTGAATACCCTGGTTTCTTGGCATTTAAAATGAATAATTTTTCAATTGTTTTGTTTTAAATGTTCGGCTATGTTTGTCCCATTTCCATTTGTGAATTACACAAAATGTGTTGTTTTTGTTTTTAAAGTGTGTTATTGTGTACGTGTGGACCCGAGGAAGAATAGCCGATGCTAATTCTAGTGCAAATGGGGATCATATGAAAGACACAATTATATAAGCACAGCATAACCTTTAAAAATAGATTTTGATCGCGGAAACTTTTGAAGAGACGGCATGATTAATCTGGATCCACATGTAGTCCCTGATCATGTCAGTAGTTTGAATACAACTTGCACCATGCAGAAAGATTACAATTGCATAGAAAGCACAGCCCCTTTTCCCTTTAGCAGTCCAATGATAGTCCATCAGGCACTGTGTTTTAAAAAGGTACACTGTTGTCTGCATAAGAGAAAGGTCCTTCTGAACACAATCAATCCCAACATGAGACTTCAGATTGCGCCTCTGAAAGGAATTTAAATGCAAATGAAGCTTCCTCGGACATGCACAGCAGAAGGAAGCATTACAGCTTGTAAAGGAAGTCATTACACACAACAGAGCAGCTAAAAAACTGTTTTTCAAAAGTATATATTCAATAGAAATGATTGGATTTCAACTCACTATATGCACTGTACTGGGAACTGAGATACACGTGTCTGAAGGAAGGAAATTTCAATCATAGACTGTAAATCCACTTCCTCAGATTCAGCCTACTGTCACCAAATCCTCTCTTTCTCACAGAATACTATCCAATAAATTGAGAGAAGGGAAGTTGGTCCTATCTGTGCTTTTTATTCGTTATATTTTCACTTACCTATACAGCGCTGATACTTATTTTAAATACATTTGATTAAAGTTAAAAAGGCTGTTTGATGAGTGGTTGCAGCGCACTTATTTCAGAGCAAAATATCAAACGTTCAAACGCACTACAAATCCAATCAGATAAATTAATTTCAGACGCTACAAAGACTCACACGAGTGAATAATGAATCAGCGTCACAGACATTTGATGAAAACAGAGAGCCCACTAATTGAAAAACAAACCATTAGATGAGTAATGTACAAAGAGGGGCTGAAAAAATAACATTTGCATCCAACGTTCCCCCCCCCCTTCATCTCGTGTGTTCAGTGGCTGCTGGTTTAAAAGCAGCAGAAGTACTAAGAGAGTCTGCATGCGTGCGTCAGAGTACACGATGTACCTGCATGGTTTTTTGTTTGTTGCAGAAGTAGAAAAACAAATACGTCAATCGAAACTGTTCTCAAGGTGAAGTGTGTATAATAAGAACATGTCATTACCTCCACTGCACCAAGATGGCAATGCTTGTCGTCTTGGTTTAATTTTTCTATTGGCAGCAATACAGAAAAGACTCTGGACGTATTTTATAAAACTTTTAGAATACTTCCAAATACTACAAGATACTACAAGATACTACAAGATACTTGAAGTTACTACAAGATACTACAAGATACTGCAAGATACTACAAGATACTACAAGATACTTCAAGATACTACAAGATACTACAAGATACTACAAGATACTACAAGATACTACAAGATACTTCAAGATACTTCAAGATACTACAAGATACTTCAAGATACTTCAAGATACTTCAAGATACTACAAGATACTACAAGATAATGCAAGATAATGCAAGATACTACAAGATACTGCAAGATACTACAAGATACTGCAAAGTACTGTACTGTAAATACTGCACGGTACTGCGAGGTTATTGCAAAAAACACATGGAAATCAAACAATTTTTATTATTAATTTGAAAGAGCAAATTGATGTCAGTTTTCATCCCCTAATATTAAACATTGGTGCATCGATAATGTCCAGCATCAGACATTATTAAACTATAAACAGCCGACAAGGAGAACTAATGAAGCCCCAAATGACAGGAACACATGTAGAAATCATGATTACCTAACATGAGGTTGGAAACTTTCTTCTTCAGAGTCATTTAAAGTGTTTGTTTGTGTGAGTATATCAACCCCCCTCTAAGTCTGTGTTTAACAGATGCTCTAATAGCCTTGATTCTGTGCTCATGGCACTATAGGAGCTTAAACATCTGGAGTGGACACCCAATCATTTATCCCATTATTCTCCGCAGAACTGATTAAGCCCTTCAAGTTGCATGTGGTGGTGAAAGAAACATTTCCATGTCCAGCTGCAGACACTCGATTTAAGTGACACTCCGGGACATTCATGTGGTGATTTGAGGCGATTCCTGCACAGCTCTGACTTAACAAATTAGCCTGATTCCATATTATATTCCATTCACTTCCAGAATGCATCATGTTTTCCCCCAGGATTCTTTGTTTCTCTCAAATAAGACTGAAACCACTCGACTACACTAATCTGCAGATGCTGCCAGCACCATACTTCACTGTAGAGTACGTATGTTTATTGTGATGTCATGGTATAGTGAAAGAAAAATATTTTGGGCTTATCTGAACAAAGACACTCCTTCACACACAAGATATCATGTGAGGTTCATACCAACTCAATATCAGCCTTTTAAAATGTGGCTTTTAATTGATATTTATTCATTATAATTGTATTTTATTATAATTTTTAAACGTTTTAATTTGTATTTTATTTATTTATTTAATTTTTTATTTATTTGGTTTTGTGTTTATTGACTTCCTTTGGTTTTATGTGTTTTTATCAAACAAAAAGTTACGTGTTATTTGGTATGTGTGTGGTAATGTCTGAGTACGTATAGGTGTGGATGTAAGTGTGTGTGTGTGTGTGTGTGTGTGTGTGTGTGTGTGTGTGTGTGTGTGTGTGTGTGTGAACCAATCTCGAAGGGATATTATTAACCCCATGTTGATCTTTGGTACGCCCTATGCTAGTCTCATTAGGAGCTAAACGAGCGAACGTTTAAACCATTTCCTCTCTGACTGTCACCTCCATCTCTTTGTCTTCCACCCTGAATCAAAGCCTCCTGAATTGGAGTTTCTCATTAGCAACGTGTGATCACCTTACTTCAAAATGTGCAGGTTCAACCGGATGTTTCACATACCACGAAAAAACAAAGCTTCTTGTTATTCCCATGAGAAAAAGCTAACGCGTGACATTTAAAGGGGACGTATGAAGCTCATTTTCAGGTTAATATTCAGTCTTTTTTTTATTTCTTAATTCCAGAAGGACCCGTATATATAAAGCCCTCAGTTTGATTTCAATAGATACTTGGATGCGATGTGCTTTCTTCTGATGGTGTTGAAACTGCTATAAATTAAATTACTATTTGTTTTATTCCTCCCTTGATATCATGGATTAATCGTGTGTGGTATTTTTTCTTAAAGGGGACCTATCATGCAAAATGCACTTTTGTACGTCTTTTATACATGAATATGTGTCCCCGGTGTTCCAGGGAACTCACCAAGTGTCAGAAAACACAACCCTCTCTATTTTCCTCCATACCCAAATCTCTAAAAAAAGGGGCTGCAACGGATCTGATAAAAACTGATCCAGATATGAAAAAAGTATAAATATGCCTTATATAGGTATGGTCCTACACTATATTATTCAAATATAGCATGATAGGTCCACTTTAAATTAAGAAATGTGTTAAGGGAAGCTTGAATTGAAATAATTTCTATTACATAAGTAGTCAAACCAAAGTGCATTTTATATTGAGGTAATCCAAAAGTAACGGAAAGTACTCAGGTTATCATGATTATAGGTTACTCATAACGTGTTTTGTACAGATAACTAGTCATTGTTACAGAATACATTATAAAAGTAACCCTCCCAACCCTGTTTTTGAAGTGAAACTGTGGAAATAGTACAGAAGGAACTGGTTGAAATGTATTTATTTGAAGAAGTCAAGTGTGTTTTTACTATTTCCCTGGCCATATGCCCTATGCACCCACTTCTTCTTCTTGAGGCAGGAAGAAAGCAGTGATGCCTGCAGGACAGATCTTCATGTGCTATTGCCAGAATCTATTTGAAGGTTGTGCAGATATCTGATGTTTGTGAAATTCATTCTGTGTGAAAGCTGCTGAAGCAGAGACGTCTCGGAGGACTTGTCACAATTTTGACGAGGGAGGCATGAGTTGAGGAAGAGGAGAGACGGAGTCAAAGTGGCGCGGCGCGCCACACACACACACACACACACACACACACACACACACACACACACACACACACACACACACACACACACACACACACACACACACACACACACACACACACACACACACACACACACACACACACACACACACACACACACACACACACACACACACACACCACACACACACACACACACACACACACACACACACACACACACACACACACACACACACACACACACACACACACACACACACACACACACACACACACACACACACACACACACACACACACACACACACACACACACACACACACACACACACTCCTGTTATCTCCTCTGCACACTATGACCGGACGACTCAATCTGTTTTATCATGCAGACAAACTTTTCTCAAGTGCACTGAGGCTCAAATATCAGGCAAAAAAGTTTTCCTCAGAGTATTTTT